CTTGTTATGGCAGCAGATTAGAATGAGGTAGACAAGAGAATAAAAAGGCATAGTAAAAAGAAAACAATAATAATACAGAATATGTAAATACACCCTTTACTCGGAAATATTGTTTATCCAAAGAAGTGCCTGAGTAAAGTGCAGCGGCACAAGATGAATGCATAAGGATGTAAACTGTGCGTGTGTTTGGTTTCTTATATTTGTCTTAGTATCCCCCTTTCATATGACATTTATATTGTCTTTGTTCTACGTTGGCTCTTTGAAAGTATTTTGTATGTTTCAATAAAAAACTAGAATGGCACTCAGTGCAGAACATAGCCAAGGCCCAACAGCGCCCTTAAATTAAATCAATCTGTATCAAATTTCAAACACTCACAAAAAGCACTTCCTTACACATGCCTAATTGCCTAATGCCCACAGTAAAAATGACTTCAGATGAACCAGGCCTATATTTGGTGTGTCTGTTTGGCATTTAGTTTATAATGTGGAGATGAAACTAGGGGAAATATAACGTACTTCAAACAGCATGTGTGATCAGAGACCAGGACCAGATGTTAGCAGCTTGATGATGCTGCTGACCAAATGGAAATCACGCTGCCACAGGAGCTGGATATTTTCCTGCCTGAATGTCTCCTGCATCACCTTGGTGTATAAGGAAGATGTGCAGTCTTAATACAAAACTGAAGTCATGGGAACTAAATTGTAGAAATTATATCAAATATATGTCTAAAAATTGCTTTGTTGCTGTTCTTTATAATTTTCAGGAGAGATAATGGCAAAATTGAAGGATGTTTTTGTGTTTACATTCACAGGAGCTGGCATGTTGTCATTCATCCTCCAGCACCCACATGCTCGACTTTCACGGTTGTTATTTCTGCTGATGAGATTCAGTTTCCCTGAACAATAGTTTGAGGTTGGTAGCAGGAAACACCAGTTCTCTTCTTTAGTCTTAGTGAACTTTATTGTCAACCAAACAATGCAACAGGTAGAGGATTGAAATTGCATTTCCCCATAATCCAAATGTGCAAGTAATATATAACACACAACATATAACATACAACAAATAGTGCAAACAAACAACAACAATGGAAACAACATATACAGACAGAAAATGGACCTATAAGTTGTAAAAGAAAAAGAAAAAATTCATTTGAAAATGAGCACTGGCTGCATGAGGGAATGTTATTCATGTGACAAACTGTGTGTTGCCTTCTTATTTCCCTCAAAATCCACCTCTCTACAGGCTTAAATACTCCTTCTTCTAAAAAAAACATAATGCTGGCACCTTGACTGTGCTAAACCAGATTTCACAAAACAGTGAGAGAATACATGTTTAAGAAAAGAGTTTCAGACAGGAAATGAACATCGCTGTTTATAAACCACATGTCAGGTTTAAAAGGAAATGATGATGAGATTGTTTTTTTTTAATGTCTGAGGCCCTGCTGCTGCAAATGACTAATAAAGATTTAAATCAAAGACAATACAATCATTGAGCGTAAATGCTGCTGTATGAGAAAAACTCACTTCAGTCTGTGGTGTGCCGCCAGAATTGTTTTGTTGTTATGCAATCCCATGTGGCATGCAAAGAATCCTAAGTCAGCTCATCCAATCCACTATCTGATATTTTAATCATTGAAGCAACATAGAGTAGGTCAAGTAGTTTGAA